CCTTGTGAATTAGAATAGGGTTTTGGCGCTCCCCTAAAGGGTTCCTTCAAGGGTTCTATAGAGGCTACTACAAGGGTTTAGGGTTCGGTTTAGGGGCCTTATTAATTAGAATAGGGGTTTGGGGTCCACTATACTATAGTTGTAGTAAGGAAGCCCCAAAATAGCATTGGTAATTATTTAGGCCCCTACGAGTACATTATGGCCACATGAGTTGCTATGTCGGTCAGGCTTTTTACCAGTATCCTAGGTTGTTGCTGTTCAACAGAAACGATGACCCAAATGACAGAATAACGCATGAAATAACAGTCGAAATAACAGTCGTGCAGTCATTATAAGGTGCTCGCACGCCAACTAGCGTATGCACAAGTAATACTGGCACAGTGATATCTACCTACCACGCAGCAGTCTTTTCAGTCATAGCTGCAGCGTCAGGCAGCTATGATAGTGAAGGGCTCCAACAGAAGAACGAAGCCAAAAACCCTACATAAAAGTCCTGAACCCCGAATCTCTGAACTTCCCCAGGAGCCGAACCCCAAACCGCACACTCCCGAGACTCAGACTTACAACCTCCTACATCTGGAATTGCTACACCATGAAGATCGAAATCCTGAACCCAATAAATCATAAACCCTTACCCCTGAAGGGGGGGATACGCCCGGAGCTACCAAGGCACGTCTGGCGATGCGTCGGCGGCCACGAAGATCGTCGAGGCCTTGGCGGATCTGTGCATCGGACTCAGGAATGAGCGGCTCTTACCGTGGTGAGGAAGATTATCAAGAACCTTTATGATGGAGATGAAGATTCGCCCTGTCTTGATGATGTTGACGATGATCTCTATCTTCTTCCTTGTCGCTGCAAGACTGAGCAATTCCACAACTAGTGCTGACACTCCTCCTGCTCCCGGCATCGCTGCTGCTACTCCAAGTGGTGCTATCGCCCTTATCACGCAACTCAAACTAATTGGCATGTTCTTATCACATCCTGACCATGTGTTAAATCAACACAAGGGACCACTAGCTTCGCCTTACCGGCTGAACTCGTTTGGCCTTTCCGTGATGGTGGTGCTGCTGCTGCTGCCGTTTCGAGGATTTACAATTACTGAAAAAGATACAGTGAGCTGCAATGCAATAAAACACAGCTTAAACCGTGCTTGCAGAGAGGAACTCTCTGAACACAGCAGTTGTGGAAAAGCCCTGGGCTGGTGTCAAATGATGAAATCAAGATCGCCCGCGGCAAGCTCAACTCGATAAATACACCAGTGAACTGTCAGGGGAATGTGGCCTGGCAGCATGAGTTCCAAATTTGCATGAAGATGCACTGAGGAGGTATACGGGTAGTTCTCCAAACTAGGGTCCCTCTTGGGGTTCAGCGAGGACTTATGCTTGTTGCAAACCTTCCTCGGCTCACAGAACGTCTTAGCCATTGCAAGTACTTATCCGGCTCGATGTGTCGTGTGAGAAGATTCTGCGCAGAGTGGTCTTGCAACAACCTGAACGACATCTACGTCTAAGTCATCCCAATAAGAACTAAGCAGAACTTATGCAATCAAACTCTTTCATGCACATGAAACTGCAAAAGCATGGACCTACGGGGATCATTCAGGTCAGTCTTGACTCGATTGAAACAACTCTGTCTCTGAAGGAGTGCTTACCCGTGAAGGTTCTCTTTACAAGGTCTGGACGTCTTTCAGTGCTTTGCGTGTAGGCATTGACGCCGGCAAAAGGTTAAGCCGCTTGTGCGAAAACACACGTCGACACCTGAAAACACTGTATCCGACGCACGACTCGACAATGTGCATAAAAGCTGGGCTTACATCGATGAAATATCGAAAACCGTCAACCCTAAACTAGTCCAAAACGGCGAACCTGCGGGAACGGGTGGGGTTGGAATACTGGGCCAGGCCCTCTCCTTGGAGCTGGAGTGGTTGCCATAGGGTACGATAGAAAAAATAACTACGAAACTTACTACGAACTGAACATTTACGCCATTTGAGGCTTACCATCAATATACATGTGCCATATGAGTGTAGAAACCAAACATGAGGAACAGCCAGGTGTGCAGAAGGAAGGGAACCCACCAAACAAAAAGAAAAACCATTCGCATAACGCCTCAAACCAAAAGACCGCATGGTAGGGGGTTGGGGGGCGAAGGGGAGGGGAAGCACGAACACAGAAGCATAAGGAAACACCTGCCTCACAAAAGCGTATATCCAGCCGTTTAAGTTGCTTTTGTATATGCATATATACGTCATGTACGTATGTCTATAGTCTAGACATATATATATATATATATATATGTGTATATATATATATATACATGTGTATAGATAACTATATACACACATATGCATTTAAGTACATAAATATTTTTACATATGTATATCTCTATATCTATATCTATATGTATCTATCTATCTAATCTAATCTAAT